GCATCGGTTATGATGTTGTTCCATAACTGCCTATCTCTTGGGGGTATATCCATATCGCAAAGCACGCCTACAAAACTTATCAATCTGTGTGATGTATTTACCCTGGTGGGCACAACAACCCAAGCCACGCCAATCCAACCAACTCCAACACCTTACTGCAAACCATTCTAATTTAACCGTATCCGCCTCAATCTAGCCCTTTTTACCCCAATCCACTCCAGTCTACGCCAATTTACCTCAATGCAACTTCCCCCCCCTACTCCAGACCTTCGTAACTCAGCCTAGTCCACTCTATTTTATCCCAAATTACCTCTCTCCACTTTGTTTGACTCCAATCTAGACCGACTCTGCAAATTAACCCAAGTCCTCTCCAATCATCACCAAACCGCTTGAATCCCCTCAAATTTGATGACTGAAGTGCATAATCTTTTTCAGGGCTCCTTATGGCAGTTCAGTAGAATCCTTTTTAACATATTTACTCGGTGTTTTACTTTCTGTTTACAATTGTTTTTGTCTGTAAAAGCGTAATATAAGCCATATACATAGGTTATATATATGCATATATATATATATATGTATATATATACATTTTGAACTGCGGTATTAGATATGTATGATGCACGATCCTCGCAGTAGAAAGCGCTATTTATGCAAAAGCGAAAATCAAGCCTGTACGGGATTCGAACCACTGACCTCTGCGATACTAGTTGAAATACATATATATGAACTGCGGTTATGAAACGTATATGTGCACGATCCTTCGCAGTAAAGCACTATTTAAGCAATAGTGAAAATCAGACCTGAAAAAAATTCAGCCCTGTACGGGATTCGAACCTGAATACAGGCCTGAATTTTTTTCAGGTCTGATTTTCACTATTGCTTAAATAGTGCTTTACTGCGAAGGATCGTGCACATATACGTTTCATAACCGCAGTTCATATATATGTATTTCAAAATAACTCATCTTTGAAATTATGATCGAGGGAAAACACCCCCTACTACTCTAAATCCATGTTCATCTTTACCCTTTCATTCAAGGCGGGTCTAAAGAGTACTTCTGAGCAATGTTATTTGATGTGAGGTTTTAGCATTACATTAAACAATGTCTGTTATTTGATAGATTTGTTCACCTCTCCTCCTTGCGTTTTCTTCTTGAAAATATATTCACACCGTACGTAAATAATCAGGGCTGTCATTAGTGGCCGGCAGCCGGCGATTATAGCCGGATACTCTGACGAAAATCGCCGACTACTTCACTCACGAAATAACATCGAAAGTTTAGATACTGAGCAAGTCTGACCAGCATATTCATTTCCTTGGTAGAATTAAGAATAGTAAAGTACCGTATTTATTCGTCTACAAGGCGAACTCGGCTTTAAGCCGAGACCCTAAACTTCGGTCTGTTATAATTGGGGAGGTTCTTAAAACATGTAAATTGAAAATACTTGGCTATAAGCCGAGACCATGTTCAGAGAATTCCATTCTCGAACAAACGGAAATGAACGCAAAAGTTTCGAAACAGAAAAGTGTTTAAATGCAGTATTGCCGTCAAAAACAACTCCGAGATAACCGGAGGGTGCGTAATCGGTGAGTCTATGGTCCGCCGCTGGAGGAAAGATCAAGAGAACCTCTTTAATGGAGAGCTCAAGATGTCAGCGAAACGCACAGCAATGGGCCGCTATACTCCGAAATATCCGCGGCTAAGTGAGAGATTACTTGACTGGTTTACAGAGCAGAGAAGCCAAGGTAAGTCTTCTTTTTACGTGATCGCAAATTTCAACACCGTAATATGCGACGAGTTTGTTTACCAATCGTGGGAATGGGCAATTCTGATTGGTCAGTTTTGAAATTATCAAAACACTTTCGGCAGAGTCTTTAACACTCTAGACAGCACGGAAGATGAAGCATTCTACTCAGATGAAACAGCAGAACTAGTGGGTGGGGAGGAGCTGGACGGCGAATTCGACGCCCACACTGAGGACGAACAGTAAGCCGTATTTACTTCGCGCCGAAAACAATAAACCGCTCCTTTGGAAGCCACCGCATGAATAAAAGCACTGACCAACTTCAACTTGTTTAGTTATTTACTTCTGCATGCAATATCTCGACTTATAGACGATTATATCTATGTTTCCTTTAAATTGCTGTTTCGCAAAAGTTATCTTTGGAAAAACACTCGGCTATAAGCCGAAAACTCTTCTGTAGCTCAAATTTTCGAGATTTTGGTAAAGTTTTGTGAAAAAATCGCTCGGCTTATAGATGAATAAATACGGGTATATTGCAATTTCTCAATCATTTTATTAGGTTGTTTTCACTGGAATTCCCTCATTCGTCCTCAAATGTTAGAGAACTAAATAAAAATCTCTCTCCTTTATACTTCATTCTACAAATTCAATAAAATTTGATCAAACTGTTACACCAGGCAACAAACTCGAGTTTATTCATAGCATTTGTAGACAGAAACTTCTCTTATTTTTTATTTTCTCAAAATACGATCACAGAGATGAGAGAGACTGCCTTAAAATGTCTCCAGGAAAAGGCTTAAAATGGTATTTGGGCTTGCGTAACCCTGCAGGCACAGGAAGAGCTTTCTGCAAATTTAGATTTAATAAATGTTTTTTGTTCTCGATTATGACTGTCTTTCTGGTGGGAAACACCCCTCGAAAATGCTGGAAATGGCATTTGCTTGACTATCGATTTGATAACTTTCTTAGGGGGTGGAGTGGGGGTGCCCACTATTTTTATCAGCCATCTCAACTGACTAGTCATTAATAATACTGTTCTTTTCAAGAAGTGAGACTTGCTAGAATTTCTCTGAGAAAAGGCAATTTTTGGTAATGTCAAAATGTTTAACTCATTTTGCTTCCGGGGGCTTTGCCCCCTGACCCCCAACAGGGCTCTGCCCCTGTACCCTGCTGGGGACCTGGGCGGCCCCCAAACCCCTCACCTGTGAGGGGGCCTCTGGCTACTTTCAAAATATCTCCACCTACTTCAAATCTTATTGACAGCCCTGTGGCTTCCTGTTAAATTTAGAATCGATTTTGAAATACTTCTTACTTTCAAAGCTATCTATGGCTATGCGTCTGGGTACTTGAGTGACTTGATCGTTATTAAAGAACAGCCGCGCTATAGTCTCCGTTCACCTAATGGTCATATCTTAAAATATCCTAGCTAGTTTACAGCTGGAAAAGACTTTAGGGGATCGCGCCTTTTCATCTGCTGCCCCAAACTTAAGGAACGATCTGCTCCTTCATATCCGACGTGAGGACAATTTTGAACGTTTTAAATCTTTGCTTAAAACGCATCTTTTTAGACTTGCTTTTCATAAGTAATGTTTTTAAAATTTTACGCTACGTACCAAGAGTTTTTATTTCAACTTTTAGCTTTATTTTACTTTTTACCTTTAATTACTATGTATATTTGACTTTTAATCTGCTTTTTAACTTTTTAAAAGCATTGTAACTCGCTTTTGATCATATCTGCATGGAAAAGGCACGTTATAGTTTTTTAGTTATTAGTATTATTATTATTAATATTTTAATTATTATAAATTATTTGTTTAAATCACCGAGAACTTTGGAATTTCTGGATCTTATTAGTAGACATAGATTAGTAAAATACCGGATCTCTACAGTCTATTAAATATGATGCGATGCCCTTCACTCATAATAGATTCAAGACAATGAACTATCGAAGATAAATTAGTATTCCGTTAAGGTCATGTAAAATCTTCTTTCGGTCGTGCTCAAAGCTAAGTATTTTGATGAATTTTAAGGACAAGGAAATTTCCAATCAAGTTATCAGGCCCTCCTTTGTTCGGATCTTTGGAAAACAATTTTTTATGGTGTGTCTTGACTGGAAATTAAAGCTTGTGGTGATATTTGTTTTTACTTCATCCCTCTCTTATACTTCAATAACCTAAAGAATGTGTGGGAAAGTTGCGTTTATTAATACATCATCTTGTCATTAGTGAGATCATCAAGCATCTAACAATTGTTAATTTTTTTGCATTTCAGTTTGAATTGACAACTTTCTTTGTTTCTGCTCTGAACAGTAGGCCTTGTGTAAATGAATAGAATGAAAAGGTGTTGTCACCATGTATTTTTTCTTGATTTGTAATTTTTTTCGAAGCACTTCATGTTGTTATTCGTTAATTCCTTGATGATTAATCTTTGTTATCTTGGTTCTTTAGATTTACTGAATGACAAACTCTCGAAATTAGTACTGACCATAACAAGGAAGCTTTAGCTCTTTTGTTGTGTTGATGGATGCTTCTCAACTGAGGTCTTATTTCAATTGACCCAGCTGAAACAAAGTTAAATCTCATGAAAAGAGGTTTTTAATTCTGTTTTTGTAAATTTACAAGAGATTTTCAACACGATGTCTTTGCTATTTGCGACAATCCAACCAAATTGTAGATGTAGCAGCTGCACGGGTTTGATGTTGCAAAGCATTTTTTTGCTTTTGGAGCACAAATCATCCAAATGTGTTTCTTTGAAGCTTCAAGAAATTTTGTCCAATGAGGAAAGAATAATTGTCTTATGAACAATAACGAGAATGTGATCCGCTTTTGAGGTTAGTATATAATGAAGTTGACTGTGCCTAGGGACGATTACTTATAAAGCATTTTTCATTTACCAGAGAAAAAAAACTTTACACTTTAATTTGGCTTTATTCTATTACGATTGGGATAGTTATTTCTAATTATTTTGAATATGATTTTCTTTCGGTTCAATTAACAAATTAAAGACCCTCTTCCTCTAGTTTCTTACAAGAGCAAACTGAATTGTGACTAGCGAAAGAGTATCCCAGTATTCCAAATCTACGTTAACTTTTCAATAACCCTTTCATTTCCGAGATTAATTCTCCACTTTATTCGCTAATCATTGCATATGATCTTCCATTTGAGTATTTGACGATGTTAGACCAAACTATATCCGCTATTTGAATGTTTTCCTGAATCTCTCATCGCCTTTTTCTTAAAAATGTTTTCATATCATCCCTTTGTCAATTTTTCCTTTCATAAAATAAGGAGGAAATTGTTTACATTCATTCTATATTTGCTGAAGTTCCATGCTCTCGGATCTAAAGGGAAAAACAAGAATATTTCCAAACAAACGTTTCAGTCCATTTCTAAAGTTTGTACTAAAGGCAAAATATACGTAAGGATTAATGCCGCTGTAGGAGACTGTTAACCAAATTGGAAATAAAACTACCTTGTATTGCACAAAGCCAAGATAAAACAGTGCCATCGTTATATAGTAGGGAACCCAGCAAATCAGGAATGAAACGAAGACTGCGATCATCATTCGGGTGACCTTTCTTGCTATAGCTATCACCCGGAGTTGGCGTTGGTTATTACTGGCTCCTTCCCCGGGTGCCTGACGGGACCAAAGTTTGATGCATATTCTCGTGTATAAAACTGCCAAAAGGGTAAGAGGAATGACAACGCCAACGGTTAATGATGTAACATTTAATTCTGTTACTTTATTAAAGTTTTGAAGCTTCATCGAATGACAGAAGTAAGAGTTCTCACTAGACTCTAGGTGCCCGTTAATAACAACGGCTGTCGAACTAATGAATGAGCATGACCACAATATCAGAATTACTCTTTTCATGTTTCGAGAAATTGGAGTGTTCTCCAAAGGTCGAAATACTGCGTAAAAGCGATCAACAGCAATTGTTACGAGTAAGTAAATAGAAAAAGCTGAAAAGACATAAAAGCTTGCGAGATATAACTTGCAAGTAATGTTTCCCATGTTTCCTCCAAACCACAATCCATGGTAAGAATTGAGACGAACAGTCTCCATCAAATGCGTGAATGAGATGAGAAGATCAGCGAAAGCTTGGTATAAGATAAAGTAATTTATAGCAGTCCTCATGGACGTGTCTGTTCGTATAATGTGTATGAGGCAAGAATTTCCAAAAAGCGACACCAGAAATATTGTGCCATATCCAAAGTATGATAGCACAATTAGATGGAAGTCCATCTCTGCTGCTTCATCGGTTTTGTTCAGGGTAGAGTGGACGTTTAAGTTGAAGTTTGATCGATTAATCCGGCATTATGGCTCCTTTCTTGGATTGAATTTTAGAAGCTCCTATAATAGCTGTTTCCCCTGTTGTTTTCTTCCACTATTTTCTTTTAAATCTGGATATGAAGGACTTAGGAGTTTTTCATCCGAATAACTAGTTCCTGCTTTGTTCAGATCTTTAGAAAAGTTAAATTTAAGGTATAACCCGGCCGGATATTATTCGAACTTCATTCTTCTTATGTGCCTGAATGCACGAAAAAAGCCGCGGGAAAGCTGTTTTTATCAATACATCATCTCAACAATGGTGAGATTAAGAGTTGCAGATGTTTGAACCTTTCCGTTTAAATTAAATTTTTTTGTTTGTACTTTGAACAATAAGCCCCATCTTAATTAACAGAAAGAGGATATATTATGGCCATGCATTTCTTCTCATTTTTTATATTATTCGAGGTACCTCATCCAGTATTTCGTTGATTCACTGTTTATTGATTATATATATATTGCTTCTTTAGCTTTACTGAACGATAAACTCGTGAATTTGATATTAATCAAACAAGGAAACTTTCTTTCTTTTGTTTTGTCGATTTATGCTTCTTATTTGAAAGTCTTAATTCAATTGGCTTTCGCTATCTAAGTTTGACAGCCGAAGTAAAGTTACCTCCAGAAAAGGGAGATAAATGCCTAGCTGTTGTAAAATGCTTAAATTTGAAAGAGATTTTTACTCCTTTCTTCGCTACTTGAGGGTTATTCAAGCCTTCTCTTATTTTTGGAGCACAAAATATCCAAATATGTTTTTTAAGACTAGGGAGATGTCGCAGTAGGATAGAATAATTGTGTTAAGAAAAATAGCGTGAATGTGACCCGTAATTGAGGGTACCACACAAAAATTTGAAAAGCGTTGTTCACTCATCGAAGAAAAACAAACCTTAAACTATGACGAGGGAAAGAGTATCCAGTATTTTAAATCTGGGTTAACTTTTACTCTTTCATTTCCTAGGTTAATTCTCTGGTCAGTTCGCTAAGTATTGCTTATGATTTTTCATTTGAGAATTGAACGGTGTTTGATCAAACAAAATCCGCTTGTTATACTTTTTTTTTACCCGTCATCACCTTTTTCTTGGGAACATTTTTTACTGTATTAAATGCAGAGAAAAATTCGTATTCTCTTAACAGCTGCGAGAATTTAATGAGAGCGTAGTAATATATTACTTATAACAATAAGGTGTGGCTTAAAGTTGCTGTTGATTTGGATTGTGATGGTTTGTGATCTCGATCACTGTTTATATTTTTGGAAACTAGGCCAATCCTCTATACATCAGTTTTGACATAATAAAGACTAATAATAATAATAAAGACTGTTTATTAAGACTCATTGCGGCAATATACAAAATGGCTGAATTACAGGGCTATTTACAAAAAAAATAATACTAAAATATAATACAATAAATCCAATAATACTAAAAGGCATAATTATACAAGCCACTAGGTATACTTAAGCGTGACGAACTCTTGCGTGCGCTTGGTCCTACAAGTAGGACGAGTGGAGCGGCTAATGCCAGATCCAAGATTATAGTTATGCACAACCTCTTCCTGTTTGGGGAGTGAGACGTATTCAACGAAGGAAAAGCTTTTATTCTATTTCGATTTACGAGCACATGGCATCGCTTCACAACCAGAACAACTAACGTCGGGGGAGACTGGAACGAATACTGCCCAGTCTCTACAAATACACCACAGGGAGCATAAAATGCAAGGGGTGAATCTCATTCCGGATTCTATCAATATAAACCTGGTATAGATGGGCTCGTCTGTCACTTAGAGTTGTTAAATTAAGGACATTTAATGCCTCTGTGTCTCACCAGCCTCGGTGTCTCACCAGCCTCTTCGCCACCATATGGACTCAGGAAAAGCTGCCACAGGAGCTCAAAGACGCCTCCATCATCCACCTCTATAAACGCAAAGGGTCCAGGAACTCCTGCGACAACCACCGCGGCATCTCCCTGCTCTCCATCGCTGGGAAGATTCTAGCTCGCGTCATGCTGAACCGCCTCAATGCACACCTGGAGCCCGATGTGCTTCCTGAGAGTCAGTGCGGATTCCACGCAGGCCGAGGCACGGCCGACATGATCTTCGCAGCCCGCCAACTACAAGAGAATAATTTGGATATATCAACAAAGTTGAAATGGTAAATTGGCCACCGTAATGATTACAAAAGCTGACGTTTCGAGCGTTAGCCCTTCGTCGGCCGTCGCTCCGACGGAGGGCTAACGCTCGAAACGTCAGCCTTTGTAATCATTACGGTGGCCAATTTACCATTTCAACTTTGTTGATATATCCAAATTATTTCGTTACTTCACCTACGCAGCCCCAAACAGTTTCTTTCGAACCTATCAGCCTTTATTCAACTACAAGAGAAGTGCCAGGAGCAGAATGTTGGTCTCTATACCATCTTCGTGGATCTCACTAAAGCCTTTGACCCTGTTTGCCGAGAGGGTTTGTGGAAGATCATGGCCAAGTTTGGATGCCGCGCCAAGCTCATTGCAATGATCCGGCAGTTCCATGACGGCATGTATTCTAGAGTGCAGGATGACGGCGAGTGCTTAAAGCCCTTTCCAGTCACCAACGGCGTGAAGCAGGGCTGCGTACTGGATCCAACCCTGTTCAGCATGGTGTTCTCGGCAATGCTATCGGACGCTTTCCGTGACGTAGACGTAGGTGTCAGATTCCGATACCGTACTGATGGCAGCCTCTTCAGCCTCTGGAGACTAAAGGCCAAGACCAAAGTACGCGTGGACACAGCCCGAGACTTCCTGTTTGCTGATGACTGTGCGCTCAACGCTAGCACAGAGTCAGATACGCAGGAAAGCATGGACCTGTTCGCACAATGGTCTCACCATCTCCACCAAAAAGACCGAGGTCATGCACCAGCCAGCACCTGCAACGGCCTACATTGAACCCATCATCACCGTCAACGGTCAGAGACTCGATTTAGCAGACAAGTTCGTCTATCTTGGTAGCACTCTGTCGCGCTCTGTCAACATCGACGCGGAGGTGGCCTACCGAATAGCCAGAGCCAGTGTTGCCTTTGGCAGACTGAAAGACAAAGTCTGCGAGCGCCGGGGCCTAAAGCTCGAAACGAAACTGTCTGTGTACAGGGCCGTTGTTCTCCCAACCCTGCTCTATGCATGCGAGACATGGACTGTCTACAGCCGGCACGCCAAACAACTCAACGCCTTCCACATGAGATGCCTGAGGACCTTGCTTCGCATCAGGTGGCAGGACAAAGTACCAGACACTGAAGTGCGCCAGCGTGTTGAGTCAGAGAGCATCCACGCCATTCTTCTGCGCTGTCAGCTCCGGTGGGCAGGGCACGTCCGACGAATGGACGACAGCCGACTCCCAAAAAGACTGCTCTTTGGTGAACTTACAGCAGGACAGCGCCCACTCGGTCGGCCTAAAAAACGATACAAAGACTCTCTGAAAGAGTCTCTTAAGCGCTGTGACATCCCCTCCTCCACATGGGAAGCGATTGCTGAAGACCGTCCTGCATGGCGCTCGCTTGTGAGAGCGGGAGTGCTGGCAGTCAAGGTCAACTGCATCCGTAAGAAAGATCAGAGTCGCCAGAGAAGAAAGGAAAGGAATTCAAACCCTCAACCTGGTCCAGTCCCCAGCATCCCCTGCCCGCATTACTTCAGACACTTCCGCGCGAAGATTGGACTTATCAGCCATCTCCGCGCCCATCCCGCCCCCCATTGATTCGAAGTCATGGTCTTCTTCGCCAGCGAAGGACGAACATCATCATTAATGCCTCGGTGTAATTCATGAAAGGAAAAAGGATGCCCATAGCCCTTTTCTGAATACTCTCAATCTTATAAGATAGAAAATCTGGTATATTCTGCCATACAGGGGCAGCATATTCTAGAACGGCACGAACAATGGTTGTATAAACCTTAGCCAGTGAAGTTGGAGATGCACCACATTGCTTAAGGACCCTTAAAGAGTAAATCCATCTGTTTCCCTTTTGCGCTAAAACTTCTACATGATGGTTCCATTTCAGGTCATTGCTTACATAAACGCCCAGTAACTTATATGTCGTGACTCCCTTAACCGTGTTACTACGAATTAAAATAGGATTCACAAGAAAATTATGGTTACTCATAAAATTATTTAGCATTTCCTTGCATTTAGTAGGGTTCAATTTCATTCTGTGATCTTCAGAAAAGGCATAGACATCGTTTGTAACAAAATTGAGTTGGCTGGCACTGTTCCTGGGGATTATTTCAAGGGCTGTGGTATCATCAGCAAACTTTATTCTAAGGTTCCATAAACGCAATAAATTATTTGTCATGATTGTAAAAAAAATTACTCCTAACCTAGTGCCCTGTGGTATACCGCCCTTGGGAGTTTTCCACTCAGATATAATGTTCTCAATCCTCACAGCCTGAGTCCTGTTACACAGAAAGGCAATCATCCAGTTAACTAGAACAGGGTGCACCTGCATGTTCCTTAGCTCGTCAATCAGCACATTGTGATCAATCATATCAAAACCTTTAAAGTAGTCAGGAAAGAAAAGCCTAACACCACAACTCCCTGTATCCACTGCCTCATATACAGCCTGTAGCAAATAGACCTAGTTTTGGCTCACCCTCACCAATCAGGGAGGGAGGTGATTTCGCAGGAAACTTTTTTTGAGTGAGAACCTGTTCATGCAAGGCTAGGCCAGCACAAAGAATTGCCGAAAGGGTTAGAGGTTGATGCTTGGTTTAAGACCAGGTAATTTATCGCAGTAGTCATGGATGTCCTTGTTATTATTTTGTACTGTTATTATTGTATGCTGATGGCTAGTTTCATCAATTAATCATCCTAGCTCCTATCTCTGCTTTGAATCGTAAAAACTGTTATGGTAGTTATTTCCCCTGTTTTTTCCTTCTTTTTCTTTTTTTCTTCGATGTCTTGACTTTAAGGTCTTCAAAATTTTCAGTCCTGCTTTGTTCACATCTTTAAGAGACGCATATAATGAACTTTTTTGTTGTCGAGTGTCAATTGCTTAAAAAGCGTTTCTCACTCACCTCCGAGATAAATGTCGTCGAGATCATGAAAAAAATTGTTTAACTAGTTAAAGTTCCATTTAAACAATAGAGTGTTTCTGTCGAGGAACTATCGGCTGATAGATGCCCCGCGGAAATTTGATGTTCTTAAAACAAATATGCTAGTTTTAAAAACATCAAATTTTCAAGCGACAACTATCAGACCGATAGTTCCGAGACATAAACACTCTATTGTCTTTATTCTTCACCACTAAATTTTCTTCCGCGCCTACAGCTTGTCATAAATGTCAATAATTCGCAACCGTACATTGGCTAAATAATACGTTCTACCTGTCAGAATTGAAAAGTCACTGTTTTTCCGATCTGCCTAACTATTTAAAACCGTCAAACTATTTAAAACTTTTCGCGGATGAGTACTATCGATCCAGGTATTTTTCGCGGACGGGCACTATCCATCGGGGTATTTTCCGCCGGCGGGCACTATGGGCTGATAGTGTCTCTCCACGGATGAACACTATCGCGTCACGTGATCGATTTAAACCAATAAGAACCGGAGAAAATTTAGTGGTGAGCTATAAACTCTGATATTCAAAAGGAGCAAACCTAGTATTCTCGAACGAGGGTTGAAATATTAATTTAAAAAAACAAACGGGCAAGGAAAGGACACCAATCATGTATCAACACCCCAAGCCACGCAAATTCACCCAACTCCAACACCTTATTGCGACCCATCCTAATTTAACGCTATTCAACTCAATCCACTCGTTTTTTTAACCTGATTCACTCCAATCTATGCCAATTTGTGGCATCCATCTGGTTCTGTAAATGTGAGATCCTACAAGAATTATGATCGTGATAAATTTGTCGAGGATCTCGAACAAGCGTCATGGCATGAGACCGCTCTTATTGACGACGTGAGTGAAATGCTTGATCACTTCAACACAAATTTTCTCAATGTGCTTGAAAGTCACGATCCTATTAAAGCAGTGAGGATTAGAGCCCGTTGCTGCCCTTCTGTCGACACAGAAATAAAAGAGTTTATGCGCAGCAGAGATGGCTTATTAAGAAATGCTCGTCGCACTGGTATGCCTTTGGATTGGGAGTTATAACGTGATTTACGTAAAGAAGTGAAGACTAAATTAAGAGAGGCGGGAAAAAGATACATACAGGAAGAACTATAGCGCTCTCAAAACACCAAGTCGAAGTGAAAGGTTATTAGAAGTTGTATTCCTAGCAGGGAAACAACTCAGAAAGTATCCACGAGAGACTTGAAGGAGGTTGCAGACGAGTTCAATCAATTCTTCACCTCTGTGGGTGCTAGGGCCTCCGGGGCTTCCAGGTCCCTGTTGGACGTTCACAATCTGGCCCCCTCTATTGGCCGTTGTTCCAGATAATGAAATCTCAGAAGTGGACAAGTTTTGTTTCCATCCAGTGTCTAGTAGAGAGATTCAAAGAATTGTGATGTCTTTACCGTCAAACAAAGCCCCGGGTCACGATAAAGTGTCAACGTCTGTACTTAAGGATGCCCTTCCATGTATTCTTCCAATTCTTACAGTTATTGTTAACCGTTACTTATTGACCTCAGTCTTCCCGTCAGCTAAGAAAAAATCTCAGGTCGTTCCATTATTGAAAGAAGGGGACCACGAGATTGCTAATAATAATCGCCCAGTCTCGCTTTGCCTGTAGCATCTAAAGTGTGCGAACGAGTAGCTCTGAACCAGCTGGCCACCTATACGAATAACAACAGGTGCCTCACTGAACATCAAACTGGCAATAAAAAAGTACACTCATGCGAAACACTAAATGTTATGATGACGGATAAGGTACTAGAAGCAATGGATTCGAAAAAATTGACCCTTGTGGTCCTACTGGATTGGTCAAAAGCCATTGACAGTATTGACCACTGCAGACTTCTCTCCAAACTACAGTCTCCTGGAATTAGTCGTACTGCACTAGAATGGCTTAGACGTAATCTAACCGGGCACCAACAGTATGTCAGGATTGGTTCTGAGACCTCGAACCTCGTCCCGATCACTCATGGAGTTCCACAAGACTCGATATGGGGCTGGCTCTCTTTAACCTATACATAAATGATTCACCTACCGTTCCGGTAAGTAGCTCATTGGAATCATTTGTTGACGACTCAAAGCTGTACTTGTCGTTTCCTGTCAAAGATGCTACTGCAGTGGTGCAGCTGATAGACGAAAACCTGGCTAAGATCGCTACGTGGTACTGTTATAATGGTCTCCTCATCAACCCCGATAAGACCAAACTCTTAGTGATGGGAAATCGCTAGATGCTGCAAAGACTTCCCACAGATTTTCATTTCACTTTACTAGGCAAAGACTTTACTCCATCCAACTCAGCGAGGGATCTCGGCATAGAAAAGGACACAACGCTAAGCTTTGATGAACATATTATGAACACTGTCTCATCTTGTTTTGCTAGCCTCCGCCAGATTAACAGAATTAAACATCTTTTTTATTAAAAGTTTTTGGAGAGTGTTATCCACGCTTTGGTATTTAGTAGATTGTTTTATTGTTCTCCTGTATGGTCCAGTAAATCAAAGAAGAACTTCTCCAAACTGCAAAGCGTCCAGAATTTTGCTGCAAGTGGTCAGTGTCACAGGCTCGATAAAATTCGAACACATAACACCGGTCCTGAACGACTTAAATTGGCTTCCTATTAATAGTATGTTGAAATATACTGTTGGCATTCTCACGTTTAAATGTGTTAATGGACTAGCGCCTAGCTATCTCTGTTCCCGCTTTGTCACTAAGGCTACTGTACACGATCGAAATGTTAGAGTGAAATAAGAACAAATTAGATATTCCGGGATACAAATCTGCTACTGGGCAGCCATCTTTTCTGTACCGATCAGTAACTATGTGGAACTCATTGCCGACTGCTATCACTGATGGTAATAACCTAGCAATGTTTAAGAGGAAAATGAAAGACTATCTTTTCCGATTATATTTTTCAACCAGATAATTGTATCATTGTACGATAATTGTTTTATATTTTACAAATTAGGACTGAACGCCCTTTTATTGTAGATAATATCTAATATTCATTTGTAAATTAGGATTGATAGGTAGTTCTCCTATCGTAGACAATAACCAATGCATTTGTGTAAATTAGGACTGAAAAGCCTTCTTGGAGCCCTAATAAAGATCATTATCAATTTACTACAATGCACCTTTCCCCTTCCCCCTTCCTCACTTCAAACTGAGCCTAGTCCACGCCATTTTATCCCAATTAACTACTATCCACTTTGTTTGACTCCAATCCTGACCAATCCTGCATATCAACTCAAGTCCTCTCCAATCATCACCTATCCGCTAGAATCATCTCAAATTTAATGACAAAAGTGCATAATCTTTTAGGGCTCCTTCTAGCAGTTCAATAAAATCAGTTTTAACATATTTACTCGGTATTTAATTTTGTCCGTAAAAACGTAATATTAACCATATACATAGGTTATATACATCTATATGTATGTTAGCTCAATTGGTAGAGCGCTGCACTAGTATCGCAGAGGTCAGTGGTTCGAATCCCGTACAGGCCTGAATTTTTTCAGGTCTTATTTTCATTATTGCTTAAATAGTGCTCTTTACTGCGAGGATCGTGCACAAATACGTTTCCATAACTGCAGTTCAGATATATGAATTTCATATATTCGGTGTTCCACCATTCGGAAACTCAATGTAGTTGTTGCCAAGTCCGGGGAATTCGTAAGAGCCGTTAATATTTCCCTCCGGTTTTGGCGGAGGATAAACATTGCTAGCATCTCCAGCTCCTACTCTGTTTTGGATTTCCTTAGTTCCATGAACAGTATCCAAAGGGTACAGGGCAATAGGATCTGGATTTTGAAAGGAGATGAGTCTAAGTTCATCATCTACACAGAAATGAAATACCAGGTGAGATCTCACGGAAAAACGTGATATCTTCTCACGTGAAATTAACCTGTTATCTTCGCAGCGTGAATGTAACACCGTTACTATTAATTTGATGGCCTGCTCCCAGTTGGCTTGTTAGCTCAATTGGTAGAGCGCTGCACTAGTATCGCAGAGGTCAGTGGTTCGAATCCCATACAGGCCTGAATTTCCTCAGGTCTGATTTTCACCATTGCTTAAATAGTGCTCTTTACTGCGAGGATCGTGCACAAATACGTTTCCATAACTGCAGTTCAGATATATGAATTTCATATATTCGGTGTATTTGATTTATAGTCTTTCGGGTTTATGTGAGACTAATTTGATGACCTGCTTCCAGTTGGCTTGTTAGCTCAATTGGTAGAGCACTGCACTAGTATCGCAGAGGTCAGTGGTTCGAATCCCATACAGGCCTGAATTTCCTCAGGTCTGATTTTCACCATTGCTTAAATAGTGCTCTTTACTGCGAGGATCGTGCACAAATACGTTTCCATAACTGCAGTTCAGATATATGAATTTCATATATTCGGTGTATTTGATTTATAGTCTTTCGGGTT